TTTTTAACGACCTGTTTATCGGTACCTACCATCTGTGTTCCACTCACCACAAGACTTGGGTGCTTTGCCCTTTTTCACTTGGTCGAGTGGATCGATGATCCTATGGCCATAGATGGCCACAATTCTTTTTTTTTTTTTTTTTTGCAGCAGGGGCTGGTCAGGTAGCGGAGGTGGCTTAAGGAGAAGGTAGAGCAGCCGCTTTGCCCGATCTGAGAATCGAACACGCAATCTTCCGCTTGCAAGGTGGACACTTAACCGATAGGCTAAGGGGCTGACCGGGTAGTGGAGATGGCTTAAACCACCAGTACATGGGCACCTGGGCTCCGGGTTTGACACCTCAAATTCTGGAGGTGCAAAATTAAATGCGACCGCCGATCAAAAAATTTATCAACAGCGGGCCCAGCATTTGACGTTTCGGCCTCCGAGTCGTTTTCTTCTGGCGACAAGTTTTGGATTGCAAGGCTGGGGCCGTGTACTTGTGGTTTAAGGAGAAGGTAGAGCAGCCGCTTTGCCCGATCCGAGAATCGAACATGCAGTCTTCCACTTGCTAGGTGGGGGGCTAAGTGAGCTGCCCCTTGACTAGTACCCCACGACAGCACGGGGTGGGGGTGGGTATCCCGCGACACGGTGTACGCAGCCACACTCATCACCGTTAATGACACATTGCCAACGTCGGCGCAGTCGCCAGAGCGTCTTGTAGTCACAACTGACTATCACGAGGTTCTTGCGCTCGCTATCCACGAAGGCGGAGCAACCGCTTCGCCCGATCCGAGAATCAAACACCCAACCTTCTACTTGCTTGGCGGACACTCCCGAAGCAAGGCCGCGGAGAGACAAAATCTGCTGTAGTTGAATGGAGTTTGATAATTTGTTTGAAAATCAGGTTTCCTAATCGAGCACAAGTGGCTCCAATTTTGGGAAGTCTGCCAGAGCAAGAATCCGATCTGCATTCTGGACCAGATGCATACATGCATGCCAATTGGCAATCCTTCATGGAATTGATGGTTGAAACCTGCTTACGGTTATGTGGATGACAGTGTCATCACACAGAAATATTCAATTATTTACGCAGAAGTATTCGAGTAGTTCTGGCTTGGATGCTTTTTGTCTTTCACTCTCCATCAGCAGCAACTATCCTGGATTTTTAACTACCGTCTTCACCCGAACAGAACGCCCGGTTATTATAGTGCAGATGCATTCGGGACAACTTTCAGTGCAGATGCAGCGATAATGACTGGGCGTTTTATTTGGGTGAAAACGGTGGTGAGAGCTTCCCAAATAAGAGAAGTTTTGATTTGTTTTTCCTTTCTTTTTTTTTTTGAATTCCCTGTACACTGTATCTTTTCTTTTCGGATGTATGATGTACATGGCGCTGACTATCTCGATGTGCACGTTTTAATTTTCTGCAGCACCAAAATACCCTGGATGGGAGCTGTGGAAGGGGGATTATGTCCCCCACGTCGATTGGATTGATGACCCAGCCATGAAGCAATTGAGAAAGGCACGTATGCGCCTCGTGAATGTCGGTTTTGTCGTCCTTTTTTTTTTCCATCCCGTCTTCCCAGGCCGATTCTGGTGTACGAGCGTGTTGAGAACGTGAAACAAAAACGAGCATGAGGGCCTGCTCCCAGTGGAATCACGGGGAGGAGGATTAGAGGGAGGAAATGACAGCTACAGCCATGGAGGAACGGGGAAAAGGGATAAAGGGGTAAAGGCCTGCACCCGATCGAGGCTTTTGTAGTTTTCTCATTGATGGCATCTGTGATGAGAGACTCTTGGTAACGTTTGGATAAGCTGGGCGGAAGAGGTGGGACGGGGTTGGGTGGGTGGTGGGTGGGGGAGCAGGGTAATGACTTCACTGACATGTGAGGCCGGTTCTTTATGCATGTTGATGAGCAGTGGTAGTGGGATGTGTGTGTGTGTGTGTGTGTGTGTGTGTGTGTGTGTGTGTGTGTGTGTGTGTGTGTGTGTG